CTACAACGAACCCCCCACGGACCACAGCCGCGAGGCCATCGACGAGCTTGTCCTCACCAAGACGGAGCTTCTTCTCGTCGACTACTACAACCCCAAGCTCAAGGGCGACCTCTGGTACGCCGACTTTGAGGGCTCCTTCGTCGCTGAGGAGGATTGCACCTACGAGCTCGGCCTCATCGTCTGCGGCACGGCGAACCTCTTTGTTAATGACAAGCTTGTCATTGACAACTCCACCAAGCAGCGCCAGGGCGATGCATTCTTCGGCGCCGCCACCGTTGAGGAGAAGGGGCGTGTCGAGCTCAAGAAGGGCCAAAAGTACACCTTCAAGGTTGAGTTTGGCTCGGCCCCGTCGTCCAAGTTGCAGGGGGACAACGTTGTCTTTGGCAGCGGCGCCCTCCGCATGGGAGGATGCAAGGTCATCGACGACAAGGCCGAGATCGAAAAGGCCGCCGCCCTTGCCAAGGACGCCGACCAGGTCATCATCTGCTCCGGTCTCAACGCTGACTGGGAGACGGAGGGCAACGACCGTGCCGACATGGACCTTCCGGGCTACCTCAACAAGCTCATCTCTGCCGTTGCCCAGGCGAACCCCAACACGGTCGTCGTCAACCAGTCCGGCACCCCGGTGCGCATGCCGTGGGTCAAGGACGTCAAGGCCCTTGTCCAAGCGTGGTACGGCGGCAACGAGACGGGCAACGCCATCGCCGACGTGCTCTTTGGCGACGTCAACCCCTCGGCCAAGCTCTCTCTCAGCTTCCCCGAGCGCGTCCAGGATAACCCGGCCTACCTCAACTACCGTGCCGAGGCCAGTCGCACATTGTACGGCGAGGATGTCTACATTGGCTACCGTTACTACGAGTTCCTCGACCGCCCCGTGCTCTTCCCCTTTGGCCACGGCCTGTCGTACACGACCTTTGGCTTCGGGGATCTCCAGGTCCGCGAGGCCGACGGCAAGCTCGCCGTGGACGTGACGGTCAAGAACACGGGCAAGGTGGCCGGCGCTGACGTCGTCCAGGTGTACGTTGCACCCAAGCAAAAGGCAAAGATTAACCGCCCGCTCAAGGAGCTCAAGGGCTTCGCCAAGGTGTCGCTTGCGCCTGGCGAGAGCAAGCAGGTTACGGTCAACATTGAGACCAAGTACGCCGCCAGTTACTTTGACGAGGAGCGGCACCAGTGGTGCGCCGAGGAGGGCGAGTACGAGGTAATTGTCAGTGACAGCAGTGTCATCACAGACAAGGCCCTCAAGGGTAGCTTCAAGGTCGGCGAGACGTTCTGGTGGTCTGGTCTGTAGAAAAAGTCCATGCGTCGCAATGTAAAAAGCGGGGAGCACCGGTCGGGAGAAAATGTTCAGGATACGCGATATTGAATGAATGAATGATTGATATTTATGCATGATAATTTGCTCTGTAGTCCAGCCAGAAACGTCCGTTTGATAAAGATATTAATGTTTACATATTTCCATCGCAAATTCATGCTGCGTCATATCTTTCGTGCATTCGTAATCGTCCACACGCCAATTTTAGGCGATATGTCCGAGGAAACTTTGGAATCACAAACAACCTCCCTGCCGATGATCAAATGCAAACCTCATACTGCGACCTACGCCGCGCTTTCGCTCTTCCGCCTTACATCTTCATCCGAGCTCGGTCTTATACTAGACTCGCTTGGTTGTGAATCAGTTGGGGGTAGCCAAGGCTCAGCGTCACCCAGTCTTTGAACAGTCGTGCCTGCGTTACCGGCATTCTTCATCCCGGATTCAAGCTGACGCTGATAAGAGATGCGACGGAGGCGTTCGGCTTCTGCAGGTGTCAAATGCAGCTGTTTTATCTCGTTAGTCTTCATCCCTTGCAGACTTCAAAATGGTGACACGCAAATGACCAGAAAGTGAGGAACCACAGAACGAGGTAAGAGGGAAGGGGGAACATACGTAAAGTTCAACAAGGATAGCGTGGATCACCAAGGCCAGCCATGATCCCGAATCAAAGACGGCTGTGAACCCGGCTGAAATCTCGGCAGGCTGGTGAGCGGTGATGCTGGCATGAACAAGGACGCTGAGGCCGGGGTTCTCCCCCGAGTAGTAGCCGTCGCAACCAGGGTAGAAGCCGAGGACCTTGTTCTGGTCGTGACGGAAGATGAAGTCCACCATAGCGCACTGTTTTACTTGATAATAGTTCGACTCAGCCGTGATCATGGCAGCGAGGTACCCGATGATGCGCATAGTAATGATGAAACCGGCCTGTGGGCAAGAACAGCTTCGTTAGCCCACGTGCAGCGGAAGAGCATGTGTCTTTCTTTCTGTTGGAACAAGAGATATCTTACGTATACCCAGGCTCTGAGCATCCATGCCCGGTGCTGCTCGATCTGGAGTTTTTTGATGTTGTAGATGGCAAGGGCAAGGGCTCCGAGGAACATGAGGCTGGCGGTGCCAGAAACAGTCTGCATGCTCACGCCACCGCCAAACGTCCGCCGTGCAATGAGAAAGACGCCTATGATTCCAACTATACTCAGGAGAATGATGAGATACCCATTAAGGCGATGAAACAGGATAGCCTTGCGACGTATAACCGGGACGAATTGTAGACAGGCAAGAAAGCCTGCCGGTATAACACCCGCGAGGTGCATGATAATTCCGATCCGTGCCGTGCCCTTCTGGAAATAGTAGCACTCTCCCGGGAGCGCCCTCGAGTCGTGCGCCGGGTTGCAGAAGACGCCGTTGAAGTTGAAGTACATCATGCGGGCGAGTGTGAACCCCATCATACCCCCCGCGGTGATGACAAAGAGGGTGAAGTTGTACCCCTTCTTGAACCCGATGGGATTATAGACCTTGCGCGCCAGGGCAACGAAGCCGTTGGCGGGAGGTTTTGAGCATGGTGAAGAAGCTGTCGACATGATGGGAGGTGACTCTCGTGAGATCACGCGAGATCGGGGTGAGCTGAAGTGAGACAGCGCCGCCACTTTTCTCGCTTCCTTCTGTCTGTTGAAGAACGGGGTAAATGAGCTGCTCAGTCACAGATGAGCCTGAGCTAGGTTTAGGAGAGGGGAGGGCCCTCACCATATATGCTCAAAAGGAAAGTTCTGGCCCTGTACAATTACTGGGGTCTTGAGCCAAGACCCCAAAGGATGAGAGGCGCTGCCTTTCTTTGTCAAAGCAGGGGTTAAGGACAAACAGCAAGCAAGAGTGGGCGAATGGCTTCACGCGATTGTCCACAACGCAGCAAACAAGGCAGGGTATGGCAGCATCAACCACCGGTTCTCCCGTAAAAGACGCATCATGGGGGCTGAGAACGTAGGATTGGCCGTCTTGACAGCACACCGAAGCCATGTCTCACGTGCTGCATGGCACCATGAAATGCTGGACAGGCTTAGCTTGGAGAGTGCTTCCACCGGAGGACGTTGCAACTTTGCCCGACGTATTTCCCTCGGCCGAGTAGGTGGGAACAAATGGCCCCTTCGAGGACTAGAGCATACTTCTAGACTTGCGATGGGGGCTGCTCCAGCCTCCTCGGTGTCGGGCGGCTAGATCTCAGAAGCTCGAAGCATGGGGGCCCCCTAGGAGCAGGTTACAGGTGGCGTCCGGGAAGGCGTTACGGGACCTGAACTAAGAAGCCTACCGGTACAGCCAAAGCAGCCAGCGGCAAAGAGGATCAATCATCAATGACGGCAAGGGGACGGACTAGGCTCGACCTCGCGAAGCCTCTCGCAATTGTAAGCAGTCCCCGGCCATCTTTGAATGCCTTTTGACGGGTGGGAAAAGGCCTGACGTGCATGTTGGCGTGTGTTGTACGGCATGCGGCCGTACGGACGGGATCGAATGCAGGCGGGCCGCATTAGTGCCGATACGGAGGGCGGGGCCGGGTCTGGAAAATCCAGATGGTTTAATGCGCCCCGTAGCGGTGTGCATGTGCCTCGTCGAGGTTCGTCACATTTATGATCCATCGTAGGACCGTATAGGCGGGATCCGGGCCTTAGAAACGTTGCAGGGTAATCTGGGAGCAACGAACCGCGCTGCAGACGGCTGCTCGCCTCGCATTTTGCCGCTGCCGGATGCGTGCCCCCAACTGCGATGCGGCTGCCGCCGTGTTCCCGCGCAGATTAGACGTATACGATTAGGTGGCTAGGCGACGGATAGTGAGCGACTTGGTAAACTGTCGGTAGGAAATAGGCCCCGGTTGACCAAGCTACATACCTCGTCCTTCAGGATCCTTGAGAGCCGGGGATACAATGAATCCATTGTCCCAAATCTCAGAGAAGCGAGATTCACCTTCCACCGGTCTGCTGGGCCACATTGGCCTAGCAGCTAGGCAGTCAGACGGCGGTTTGAAGTTGGCAAACAGGTAAGCAAGGGGTCTCTCTTCGGTCATTTGCCCACTTGTTTTGGGTGGACGGTGACCGACCTAGACCGTTGATGGGCGTTGAGAATTGGAGCTTTGACGTGGAGCGAGGAGGTTAGCAAGCATGGCAAGGAGGGGAAACCGATTTTTGGGCAGAAAAAGGAAGCATAAAGTGGTCCATCGCCGAGGCTTCTTCTCCTTCTCATTTTCATCGCGCCATCAGATTTTTCCACACTAGTGTTTGGTCAATTGAGGTAGGAGGTAGGAGTCCGTATAGGCAGTTACGCAGGCGTGATCGAATATGGAAGATACCCTTACTTAGATATGCAATTGAAATCAACGTGAAAGACAGGAATAGGTATTAGAGGGAGGAAAAGACGGGGGATAGACGCCGGAGAGACGCACAGAGGTTGGAAGGTGCTACTGTACGTACCCATCCGAGGGCCCACCACCTCACCTTCCGTCCTGGTTCGCAGGTACCTGACCTAGGTACTTGTAATAAGGTACCTTACCTATGGAAGGTGAGGAGGGTCGTTGGGTATCCACTGCCTCCGCCAACTCTCGACTCACGCGTTGCCGTCCTGCCGCGTCCGCACCCGCGCCCCGGCCGCGCCTCCGTCCTCAATCGGCCCACGTCCCACCTCATCTCACCTGAGATCCAAGCATCCAAATAAGCTCCTGCCAAACACGCATTCCACGCAACACTCACACAAGTCAAGACAAGCTGTCAATCTGTCAATCTCTTTCTTTCGCCGAGTTTGTTGTTTCTTTCTTTCTTTTCATCTCTCTTCTGCTGTGCCTCTCAAGATGGCCCAAGCCCCCCTTCCACCCACCGTCATCGCCCAAAAACAATCTTTCCTCGCTACTCAGGCTCGTCTGCTCTCCCAACCCCTGCAACCCTCTCGTGCCTGGCTCGCCGCCAACGAGGCCGCCGAGTCCTCCATCCCGGACCCCGTCGTCGAGCACGTCGCCGCCCGCCTCAACACGACCTTGCTGCAGCACTCGCGACGCGCCTACTCTCACCAAGCGAGCCGTCACGTCGCCGAGCAAATTGACGCGTTGTACCTATCTCAACTGTCGGCCGCGCGAAATGACCCCTCCGAGGGTCTATCCCTCTCTTTGGACCTGTGTATGTTCTGTGCATTCCGCCCCGTGTAGCGCAAAAGACTAATCGGAAAAAACACCAAAGCCGAAGAGACTGCCGTAAGGTCGCTTCCCTTGGCATGGCCAGCCGAGCGTGATGCAACTAGCTTTCCTATGGAAGTCAAAAGGTACGCTGAAGTCGCTGGCCGCTTGAAAGAGCTCGCCGAGAAGAGGCAGCAAACCAGAGCACGTGTTGAACGGCTACGGCGCATGAAGGCACTACTCGATCCCTTCCGCACCGGAGATGCCGGCGCGGGTGTGCAAGAGAATCTCGTCACCCGCGATGGCGAGATTGAAAAGGAGATGGAGAAGATGCGTGCCCTACTGGCTCGTGTAGGTGGTCGTGTAGGACTCCTACCCGAGGCCACCGAGTCTGCAGACCTGCTCAGAGCGGACAATTCCTTGATTGTAGAGCCTGTGGCTACAGGAGAGAAGCGCAAACTCGACGATCTTCTCGACAGCTTCTGAATGACCACATTAAGAGGTCCAAATTGACATTCAAAGCGCACCTGTGGGAAAGCAACGGTAGGGTAGCTCAGGCAAAAGGATTTTGTATTCAAGTTGTAAAGTGGCGTTAGGTTCTAGGTTTTAAGGATACCCCCGGATTTATGAAAACTACTTTTTTTCTCTGTAATCCCGGCACGTTCAATCTGAGACGTATATCAAGCTTGAAAGCCGAACGTGTATCCCAAGGAATCAGCGCCAGGGGTCGCTCTCCTTCTCTTGCTAGCATCAGAGCGAGACAGCTTTGAAGCATCGCTGAGGTCCTCACTGGTAGGCCGAATGCTCTTCTTTCTCTGTTTGATTTCTCCTTCAAGCGTGGCATCTTTGGCACTGTCATCCACATCCAGACCTTTTGACTTCTTGTCACCCGGCTCTGAGGTTTTTGGAACTGCCTCCTCTTGGGGATATAAGCTTGGCCTCACAACCCGAAGGTTGCTAATAACTTCTTCTTGATCTTCATCCGATACCTTGGAGTACACTCGAAGTCCCACTACAGCCACAGCGTTCCATGGATCTCTCTCAAACTCGTCTTGTTCCTCGGCAGGCGCACCAGGGGGTGGCTGCGGCGGCAGACGGTCTGTACTGGGCTCCCGCTTTTCAACAGCGTCAATTTCAAGCTCCAATTCCCGCTCAGAAAGTTCCGACATGGATGATATACTTGCAATGTCATCGTCGTCTGACTCGCATGGGTAAGGTGCGGAATACTCCGATGGGGGTGCTGCTTCACTCATCGCCTCCTCGACATCTTGAAGGGTAGCCTCCTGCACCTCGTTCCTGACTTTGACTACCTCGCGCCTATCACCTCTGGAATGCTTGTTTGTAGGTTTCGGGGGTGTCAAAAATCCTGGGCCTCTCTCGTTGTTTTGTTCCAGCATTTCAGCCGACTCGAGGACTCGAGATATCGCTTTGTCTTTGTGGCGGGGGGAAATTGGCACATCCTCACTTGCCATGGTACCTGAGTTGGTTCGGCTGCCCGCTCCTCGTGAATCGTTCGACAATGACAAGTTTTTGGTTGCAATCTCAAGAGTTTCATGTGCGTCTTCCTGGATTGTGACTTTGGCCACAGGGCTTGGTGGGGTTGGAATCGGCTCAGATTGCTTCGGCGGAAGGGGATTAGCTAGCCTTTTACGTGCACGTAGCTTCTCTTTCGCTGCCTGGTGTTGTGCGATGCGTTTCGCCTGCTGTTTCTGAGCCTTCCTCTTGGCTTTGATCCTGAGGTAATGCTCCTGTTCTCTCTCTTCGAGGATCTTGCGCTTGATCTCGGCACGTCGCTTTTCCCGAAGTCTCTTCTCGTGTGCCTCCTTAGCCGCCTTTTCCGCGGCCGACTCGACAAGTTTTCCCTTGCTATGAGCAAGGTCATAGGCCAACCCTATCCGGATCAGCTTCTCTCGGCGGTTTTTGGCATTGTTGCGAATCACTTGGTCGATGGGAAGAACGCCATCGTTCCGCACCGCATCTAATTTGACAAGAACCTCGTAGCTACCAGCTTGAAGATCGAGTTCAACATTCACGGATCGGTTCATGCGGTAGGATGCTTGACTCCGAACGACATAGTCCTCTTGGCCGGCTTTGTGCAGACGGAATTGCAAATCAAACCGGTATTGACCTTCCAAACCACGGAAGTATCGATCGTCTAGTTGCGCTAGTACGATCACAACCGGACCCGACTTGGAGATTGTAAACGCGAAATACGTTTCGTGGTAGTCCAGGGTCCATGGAACCGATAGTGTTGTCCAAATGGATGTAACCTTCCACTCGGGACCGAATAACCGGGTAACATCGAATATGTTGTATTTTTTGAGGAGATCGTGGTACGAAATCCAGAAGGCGCCGTCGTCGCCAAACGTATGTTTGAGTTTCTGCAACCACTCAGGGGTCCATTCTTTGGAGCCATCGCCTGCTACTGGTCAGCACGAGAACGGTAAGACATTTATGTCTTGAAGATGGAACTCACTCCAAGCTCCTTTCCATTCACCCTTTCCCCAGGGATTCTTCAGTAGAACCAGCCTTTGACCATCCATTTCGACAGCCTTCATGACGCTGTAGGCGTGCATCTCGATAATGCCCTTGCGTTCCCCCAGACCCCTTGATGCAAACCCAGTGGAGCACCCCAGAAGCCAGTCTTCGTTGACCTTTAGGAGTTTCTCTTTCCAGAAGTACTCCTTGTCAAGGATGTCTGTTGTGTAGACCTCTGAGGTTACGCCACCCGTAAGGTCCTCGATGGCCTCGCCCGTAAAACCACCTTCGATGGAGGCATAGTCCCCGTGCGCCTTTGCGTACGCCTTTTCGAGGAGCGGCAGCCATGTCTCGTTAGGATTCTCACACTGAGCAAAGTAAAGCGCGCCACTGTTTGACTGGTAAATACGCCTGTAGGCTTCTTCAGAATTGATGCGCTCGCGATCTTCCCAGAGAATTCGCTCCAAGTAGGGCTCGTCATAGTCAGGCTTGGTAAGGTAAAGCTATGTACCCGGTTAGAAAAGGCCTCAAGACTTTGTGGGATCTTCTCGGACTTCTCGTCCAAGCCTTTCCCAATTAGACGGTCAGAGGAGCAATGCAGCATACCTTGTCATCGATGATCTCGCTGAACCACTCTCCATCGCGATGGAAGACAAAACCATACACGCCGACTTCAAGATTATGTGCAACGCAGACTTTCTCAATCAGGCCAGGCTTGTTACTCAGATTGCATAGCGCGGCCATGAGCCAACAGTCTCCGTCTCGACCTTGGCGCACATCGTCCGCCGTAGGCCCGTCAATGTAGAATTGCGGGTTGTCGAAGATATCGACCACTCGCTTGACGGCCTTGGGCTGGAAAGAGGACTGCGGAGGTTTCGCGTCCTTGGTATTCCACAAGGTTTCGAGGCAGTCTCTGCGCCCAAACTTGAGATCAAACTCGATATCATAGTGAGGATCTCTGTAACGTTGATTGACTCGGCGACACTCGTGAACAATCTTGTCGACCTTGGCTTTGCAGACAGTCGCAGCCTCATCGTACGACGTCTGGGTGAAGATCCCAGTGGCTTTGGAAGAACGCTTTGCGACCCTCTCAGCGTACGCATTCTGAGGAATGACGGTGGTAGCTGTTGGCATCAAACACAATCAAGTCAGTCACACGTTGATGTTCATGGCGATTCTCCGTATCAAGGATGCGACCGACCTTTTCCTGGAGTCTTGGTCGTAAACTTTGTCCAGAATTCATCAATGATCTCCTGGGGAGGCTGCTGCTTCGTCTTTCGGGGTTTCGTGACGGTTACAGGCATGGTAGCTAAGTATGCTCGGCGGCGCGGGTGGGGGATCACAGACGACGGTACAATCTCGTCGGAGCTCGAGCTGGAGCTCGATAATACGGTGGACGCCATTACGTATTCGGGATCGATCTCTTTGGCAGTTGCCTTGGAGTCAAAGCAGGAGTTGCTGATTGCAATGTTTTTGCGCTTGCCGACACTTGTTCAGCTGGTCAGAGCTAGCAGTCTCAGCTGAGGTGCTCGGCTTATGCTTTCTTGTAAAGTGCGGCTCCAACTCACAGAAGATTTGAACGTGAGCAAGTTTACCTGCCCAGCTCCAATGAGGTTGAGGTAGGAGAGAAAGAACCCACGAAGACCGTCTACGTGGGTCAAGGTCAGGCCGAGAGTGGCGGGAAGGAACAGCATACGGTGGCTACCTTTCAGCAGCAAGCCCATGCCGCGAGCGGTGACTTATTTATCCAGCTTAGGCTGTTCCCGACGTTTGGCTTGTGGAATGAGGCTCTGCAGCCTGCTGCATCGACGCTGGGAGAAGTTCTGAGTTGGGCGATGTTGACCATCGGATGACCCAGCCGTACGGAAAGCATCTATAGTCTTACAACATGTTTGTGTGCGACCCTCGTGACATAGTCGCCCAGGCAGAATGAGGCGGATGGCAGATGGACAGGTCAAGATAGGTGGGCGTGGATACCTATCAGGCTGCAACTCAAGCATGACGGCAGTTTTCTTACTTGAGATGGCGTGGTAATGCAGACTGCAGCATGCAAGTCCATCTCTCTCATACGTTGGCTGCATTGCAAAAGTCAGCGCTTGGAAGGCAGGCTGGGGCTAGCCGTTATTCTACCCCGCTTGGACACCAAGGCCATGCCTTGGTATTCAGCATCGTACTCATTGATGACATTAAGGCTGGGCAACTTTTCGACACCAGCATCCGCAGTGTGCACAATTATGCGTAGCCTGTTGCAATACAGGTGATGCGGTAGCCTCACTCAGTCAGACACATAGATGATGGAATACGCACGTCTACGCGTAGAATAGCCTGCCGACTCTACCGGCATGACGAAGAAGACGAGACGAACACCGACGTCCGGTTACACTTTCCTAGAAAGGATTCCGGGACCGATGGTCATAGCTTTCGGCGTGCCGTTCGTACTCACTCAACTCCGGGTGCACTGGTGCCTACTCACGACCTCATGTCTCTACTACGGTATTTGAAGCTCCTTAAAGCCCACCCAGCCGCATTACGCTGTGTCATCGCCTCATCCAACACATGATCAAGCCTGACTGCATGTGACTAGGTGCTCTGCGAAACGCTGACTTGCCTGATGTTCTTTAGCTTGACCGCAGCTTCACACCTTCTCAAACAGGTGCCGTCTTGCCAGGCCTAATCCTCGGCCTTGGAGTATCCCCGGAGTCGTTCTACGGTTCTGCTGTATCTACTGAAAGCTGAGTATTTGTAAACTCCGCAATGAAATCATTCGTCGTTAGTCGTAGCAGAGCTGGCGTATCCTGTTCCTGTAGTCCTGGAGCCTCAAAGTCGTTCCTATAGGCAGCCCTATGCCCACTGTCCAACAGAATCCCGTGTAAAGCATCACCCGGTTCAGATCACCCATCACAACTGCGGGACGCCCTACCCCAGAAGAGACTCGGACAACTCAGACAACAACAGCTTCTTTTTTTTGTGCGTCACGCCACAACAACTTTGCCGGGGTGCTCACCATTCCTCCCTTCGAAGGGATCTTCTACTCAACAACCACTTCCACCGCCCCAAAACTCTTCTTCTTCTTCTTCATAAGATACTTGGATATCTCTCATCCCCTTCCCCGAGCCCCATCTTCCATCCCAAGGATCTTCCCCATCCCGATATGCTGGGTCAGCAGTGCAGCCCATGGTCAGCTTTGGCTGTCCACTCAGGCCCACTGCCGAGCACAGAGGTAGTGAAGATTCTGAGCCGCGAACGACCCTGGAGCCGTTGTCCTGTAGAATGCGCCCCTTGCTGCCGTATGTCTGAGTCCAGTTGCGGGCTAAGGAACAGACACCGGAAATAGAGTCGCTTCGTTGTTGGAATATTGAACCAGAAGCAGCATTGTCGAGCCAAGATTATCCATGAGATGGCTATAAGGGTCGTGAACTTTTGTTTTCCAACTGCGCTGGATAAGATGCATTCAAACGTGCTTGAGACCATCCGTCGTGAGAGTCGTTTGCTATGAAGAAAGGAAGCCTTTCCCGTTTTGTTCCAGAAAATGAATCGTGTTGATGAAGGGGAATCCGTGTAGACGCCATGTAAAAGCAAAGGATGCCATTTGGCGGCATGCCCATTTTATGCATAGATTGAAATAATAACCAGAATGAAAGGGGGAAGGTGTAGTTGAGGTGATGTTCAAAAGGCGTAATGATTGGTCGTAGTGCAGATAAATGAAAGCGACATCGCTGAAGAAATGCCGCAAAGGTTTTTTGAGGGAAGCTGCATCAAGGCAAGCCTGCCTCTATCCTCAGGCCTAGCCCAAGAAGTCGTAACGTCCTCAAAGGAACATGTCCAAAGATTGCCGTCTAAGCAACGGGGGCAATGGGCGCAACAGCGGGCTGAGGGATGCCAGGGGCAGCCGACAGGTCAACGTCGTTGGGGATTTCGCCGTTGGTGTTCTTCTGGGGGCAATCGCGGGAGATGTGACCGGCCTCACCGCACTGGTAGCAGGTCTTGCCAGCAGTGTTGAGGGGGCCACCGTTGGGAGCGGTGCAGTCACGAGAGATGTGGCCAAGCTTGCCGCAAGCATAGCACTTCATGGCCTGAGCCTGGCAGTCTCTCGCAAAGTGGTTGGGACCACCGCACTTGTAGCAGGTAGCAGGACGGGGGCCACCGGTGAAGGCACCGCGGCCGTAGCCACCGTATCCGCCACGGGGAACCGGGGGGCCGCCTCGGCCCATGTTGACGCCGGCGGGGTTGGGGCACGCGCGCTGCTCAAACATTAATAACCTAGGCATTGGTCTCTAGAAGCTAGAGTTTCTTACCGCAAGATGACCGGGCTGTCCGCAGTTGTAGCAGCGGCCACTGGTGCCAGCGCCGCTCAGACGCAGGGTAGGGCAGTCAGCCTGAACATGGCCAAGTCCCTGGCAGTGATAGCACTGCTTAGCCTCGGTGGTACGGGGCAAAGGGCAACCGTTGGACTCGTGGCCGGGTTGCTTGCCTACAACCTAGCGTTAATAATATGCCTAGCAAAAAATTGAGTGGTAAGTGACTCACAGTTGTAGCAGAGGCGCTCGGCGGAAGAGCAAACCTCGGCATAGTGGCCAACATTGCCACACTTATAGCAGGCACGACGAGAGAGGGAAGACATTTTGGAGATTGTAAGACTGACACTTGGTGTTAGCAATAGTCAATAGGTCAGTGCTTCGCAATGTTTTTGGAGCCTCTCTGACGCAGCACAGCAGAAGCTCCGATGCTCCGAGTCGCAATCCAAAAAATTAACATCGCAAGCAGCAGCAGCAGCAGCAGCAGCAGCATCCAGGTCGCAGTGTAGTCCGAATTATCGCCTGTCCAATTTGGGAGGACCAGACGCGTCTTAGGCGGAGGTGCAAGCGCCGTGCTCCAGCTCAGCACCGGCGCGGGACTTTGTGCGCATATTGCAATTTGTGACGGTATTCTCCTCAGCAAAAAGATATTTCAAGAGCCGCCAAGTATCGGATCCGTCTATTAGCGTGGTGGCGAGTAGCTGAAGTTGAGTTGAGGGATTATCCAAGCTGATCCACCGAGGGCTTTCTGGGAGAGCAGCGCATCGACTCGAGCGCAAGCGCGGGGCCGGGGTAGCGGGGATGATAGCAAGCGAGACGGCGCAATTGTGCGACTCCGGATTCAACACTGACGGAGGGCCGAGGATCGATTACCGGGTCGATGTGGCATGCGGCAGGCCGACGCGGCTACAGTTGGATTTGAGAATGGTGGGCTAAATTGGATGGCTGCATTGTGTTCGCGGTAGGGCACACGACTGCGACGCGCGAAACTCGGCGCAGATGTGCGGAATTGCGACCAGGCCAGTAATAGGCGGGGTTGGCGCATCATCGAAGTCGGTCGCATTGCGCAAACGAGTCCGACTACAGAGCAATGACGACCTGGATTCCATATCTGAATCGAAGTAGATGGGAGGCCGAATGTTTTGGTTTGCGCTCGCTGAATTGTTTGTGTGTTGCGCTGCGATGCGATACAAGCCGAGTGTGGATCGAATGCTAATGGCGATGCCGACGCTGATACTGGTGCTGATACTGATGCAAATATTGGTGCTGACGGTGCGGATAGACTAGAGAGACGGCGGCCGCCGTCGCTGCTGCTGCTGCTGCTGCTGCTGCTGCTGTTGTTGTTGTTGTTGTTGTTGCTGCTGCTTGCTACTTGTTCCTCTTACTCGCTACCGTGATGGGCTGGGCTTTCGGGTGCGTCGTCGCATGCACTTGATGCGACGGCAAGGCGAAGAAACGTCACGGCACCACCACATGGCAGCAGGGAGCAGAGGACGAGGGGGGAGGGCCGGGTAGAAGGACAGAGGGGTAAAGGTAAGGCAAGGTATGGTAAAGTACCGGTAGGCGGGCGAGAGCGAATGGGAATTGTGCGGACAAGACGCAAAATGCAGGAACGAAGAGTCGAGGGCGAAACTCACCTTTTCGCGAAAAATTGCCTTTGAGAAAATCGGGGACGTCGAGTTTGTTTCGAAGAGAAAATGCGGTTGACTATGCGGGAAGGGGGGAAGTAATAATTTGTGAAGGAGGAGGAGGGGTCTAGTAGTTGGGAGGAAGAGGTAAGCGCAAGTGGCCAGGTGAGAATGGAGTGAGGTAAGGCACGCGCGGTAAGGTACGGAGTAGGAGTAGGAGGAGTATTAGCGGGGATGAGTTCAGGTTGAATGGAACCGGGGACTGGGACCTGACTGAGGTGGGACTGGGATTGGATTGGAACGAATACCTAGGTATTAACGTTGGATGGACCTGGAACTTGGAAGTTGAGGTAAGGTGAGGTGGGAAACGGAGGACGGAGGCGAGGAAACGTGCTTCCGAATTATATTTCTCTTGCGACCGCTTAGGTTCGTTCTACTTGGTAAGGTACGGATACTAAGGTAGGCTAGGTAAGGTAGGTACGGATACAGATACGGTATTACTTCCTTCCTTCCCATGATGGTGCCTTCCATCACCCTTTAACACCTTACCTTCCTTTCCCTTGGGTACCTAAGTAAGGTACATAGGTAAGGTAGAATCGAATGGAATGTCCTTAAGCAAGGCAGGTGGCACCTCAGTTGACGACCTGCCTTACCTGAAGGTAGACTTTGGCTCACAAGATCGTCGGATTTGACGTTGGCGAAAATTTTTCAAAACACCACACAGAATGAGGGCGAGTCGGAACAAGGTTCTTTTGGTGCCAGTGCGTGAGAAATGGCATCTACACAAGACCGGAAGGCTACCTTAGAAGGAAGGGGGTACATGACAAGGAAACAAGACATCCAAAAGAGGATGGCTACATCCATCGCACCTTGTTTGGCGAAGTCTACCTACTTCCTCCGCCTTCTCCGCCTCTTTCCCTGCTTCTCGCCCACGGCCTCTTTCTGCTACTTCAACTGCTCTCCAACTGCCCTCAGTACCTGGCACTTCACTCTTCTTGTTTTCTTCTTTCCGAGGGACTTGACGCCAACGGTCAGTCACTTCTTTTCCAACCCCTTCCCCTCATAGGAAGGTTAAGGTAGGTAGCGTTGAGAGGGGGAACCTCCATGTACACCACGGCCAAGCAAACCCCTTCCTGAACTTGACGAGAAAGGAAAGGACGGGACTGGGCTGGCTGGATTGAGGTGCTCTGAGCGGGATGGGCTGGGTTTGACTGGGTTGTAGAAGCGCGTGTGGCAGGAGACAAGGAAAGGTGCGTGTGGGACGTCTACCTCGAACCGGCGTAGCGCGTTTGCACCAATTCAACCAAATCACTCAGCTCTGGCTCTGGATTACCTCTGTCTCCTGGCTCTCATTGGAGGCCATGACATTCCCAACCTGGGCTGGGACTCTGAGAGCTATCACGACTTCCCTTCGCCCACTACCTTCACACTGGCCGACAGTCACAGAGCGCACACCTGAAAAGTGGAACTCGATGTGAGATGGTGTCAACTGGTCAATTGGACTTTCGAGTCCGGTTCTCTCGTTCCGGACATTTGGAAACCTTGTACCTCACGATGCCATACCTACCTAGCCCATGGAACTTGGAAGAGTTGCACTTGCGCTTGATACGCACCCGCTTGGAACTGTATCCCTTGCATTTGCGGCTTGCCCTGCACCTGCAGATTCAGTCACCCGCTGCTCCTCCCACATCCCACATCCGCCAATGACGGATGCTTTCCTGTCCCTGATTCGATGCCTACATTCCACTGCCCAAGACCCAAAACCAAAGAAGCCCCAAATCCCCTCGTTGATTCTCACCCCAAGCTTTCAACTCATGCGGGTGGAAGTTCTTCCATAGGTATCAACTTGCGTTCGGGAGCAGGAGACACAAGAAACATCTACCTAAACGACGGAATTAATGAAAGAGTTCAGAACCGGTCCGTCGGATACGATCAGGACTCTGTCAGTCTGCCTCACATTCGGCACAGACCATGATAGGATGGGCGCGGACCACAAGGGCAGTTGCTTATCACCATGTCCAGACTCAACACTCAAATGTCAAGACTGCCTATGTAAAGCGATCAACCAAGAGTCGTCAAAAGTGGAGGGCGGGGACAAACAAGTTCCCCTCCCCCCTCGCCGCTCGGGCCAAGTATCACAACGATGCCCCGACAAGTCACTCTTTAGCCAAGGCCCTTACTCCTGGTAAGTAGTCATCTTTTGAAGAGAATCTTTTGACGAGACTCTCTTGACGCGAGTCTCGACTCATCACCTCGTCCAGGTTCCAACTCACCTCGTTCTTACTCTACCGGGCGACAGATTCTCCTCATCTCCACTGTCCCTCGTTCACCATGGTCAACTTAACACACCGCGTCCAGTCCAATAAAGACAGCCTGTATTATCAAACAAAGTTCAAACTTATCCTACTCAGCTCGTCTGTCGCTGCGCCAGACCTTGCCAAAATTGGAAGCGCGAGGTAAGTTTCATGTTGCCCTTCTTACAAACCTTGCCCTCACCCTGAACAACCTCACTACGTGCTCACCCAACTCTGCGTTACATCTCTCGTCTAGCGACGAAGTAAACCAGCCAATCTCACGTAACCACTCGGTAGTCACGGAGTGCAGATACTCGACTCCTGACGAACTAGAGGCCCATGTTCGCACCCTCTGGATCAAAGCACAGAACAAACATGAGCGCACAAACATCCTCTTCCACAGTATCCGTACAACAGCGCCTATCTCACCATCAACTTCACCATGTAGGAGGACCAGAGCCACCTCTCCACGAACTAATCCTCTTTCTGTTGGCACTTGACCCTCAGTCCAGCCCTCGCAACTCCGCGCGCTAAGAGAAGACACTTGAGCAAACTTGGAACAGTCATCCGGGCCAACGGGGCCAAAAGCCCTCACAGGCTCACAGCGCATGCCCACCTGAATGTGCCGCCCAAGGAAAAGAGAACCAGACTGGAAAAGACATGTATCAACCCCAGTCCTCATGGCGTCCATGTGGCGGTTCCTGACCCGGTCATTGTCCGTGTGTCGCGACACTTGGACATGTCTCAACATCACCTCCCCGCCCTAACCCCCCTGACCACAGGTCCGAGGCTCACTTACAAGTGGTTTGCAGAGTCGAAAGGCAGGAATCTGCAGTGGGACTAGCTCTGTGGACACCTGCATTCTCGAGATTCTGAGCTTGCGCAATGCAGCCTGGTAGGTGACCACGGACAGCTGTTTCCGCTTGCTCACAGACGGGTTTTCAGGCATCTGATTCTTCCGCCTGGGAAGCCAGAAGCTGCGATGAGCATGCAGCATATAGGTAAAATGCAGCTTTACGTATAGGCTACCGCGACGGATTTGCTACTGCCTCGTTGGTTCTGCAGGACGGGATGCAGAACTTTGTCTAACACAATTGGTGCAGCCGCAGAATACCGCCCGTACGAAGCACATTTGCTGTATTCCCGCACCGAAAGGTCGTGATACCCTTTTCCCGCTCGGGAGTTGAGATCAATCATCTTCTGCAGAGCCGCCAGGCCAGATCGTCCGGGGTAAACGTAAGCCCAGCCATGCTGTGGAACCACTCTCGCAGGACACCCCGCAGCTACCAGTCGTCATGCTGAACAACATTCAAGAAAGTGTATTGTGCAGTCATGAATCTTTTTGTTCCCTTTCCCGTAGATGTATTCTACGTGTATCTCCATTCGAAGTCGCTTGTGTCATGTCTTCTCTCTTATATTACACTTTCGTACCTACTTCTTTGGATGCCAAGCATGATATCGTGGCCCCTAGTACCAACATCACCATACCGCAGCAGTTCCAAAGTACCGCACGTCATGGTTTCTGCTTCTGCTTCCTTCTGCGCCAGATCCTCAAGTTGGAAAATAGTACTTCGACTCCTCAATGCTGTCACAAATACCGCCTGCGCCTACGCCGCCAAAACCATATAATATAATGAACAAGCCCCCTTCTCTATGCTCAAGGAGTGCGGGCCCTTTCTTTTCCTTTCTTCTCTCTTGTCATCACCGTGACAGGTCGATTCTTGCTTACATATTTACCATGCACTCCTGTGTTCACCCATCCGCCCCCGTTCGGAAGGATGTGTAGGTAGTGGGGTAAGCACGTCAGTCATTGCTGCCGGGGCCATGGATCGGGGTCGAGCTTCCACGACATAGCTCACCCCATCCTCTGATGCGTACGATGGGGGTCGAGGACCAGTGCTGCTTTCTCCGCGACTGGATGTTCCCTCGTTCGGCAAGGCGTTCGGGTTGCGCTGCCAGTAGATGCGGTTGGGGTCAACCCTCTGGATGGAACTTGTCAGTCCAAAAAAACTTCCTCACGTGTAGTACCACACTTATAAGTATTACATACCACACTCTCTCGCCAGAGGCCGTAGGCTGGGGGCTTGGCCAGGACCGCCTCGCTGACCTCTCCTTGCTCCTCTTCATCGCGCGCCAGCACAACTCGGATTGGTTCTCGTGGTACGGCGTAGCCACCGGGTGCCAAAAGTTGCGGCATTGGTGGCCTGGCCTCATCGTCGACCCGCGGTCGGATGACGAGCATGCATAACCGGATCAAGCCGTGACAGAAGAATATCGTTACGAACAAAATAATGAGAATCAACAACACAGTAAACTCGCTACTGCGAATATTTTGTGTGAGGGAGAGTGCTAAATCTACTCAAGTGGTTAGTCTCTGATAATAGTACGCCAAACAATTCCCATAAGCTGGGCTGGGGCACCACTTACAGACAGCGAGAAGGAGCGTCAGGAACCCGCCTGAAATGAAGCAGCGGAGGATCTGAGATCGCATGCGCCGTGATTTTGGCCATGGAATACAGAGAAGAAATCGTTTAGGATGGCCCTCGTTGTTGTTGTTGTTGTCCTGTTGCTGTCGATGATGTGCCCGTCGTCTGCGCCGTCGACCATCCTGTGCCATGTTCGCCAGATGCATCTCTGCAGGATCTGGCCCTGTGAATCTCCTCGTCTCGCTGGAAGTTTCAGTTTCGGGGCGCCGTGCGACAGGCGCTGGCATTGTCACGCGAGTCGTAGCTGGTGAAGGTCCGGCTCTGCTCGTCGTGGGCGGTTCGGGGGAAGAAGACTCGTCGACACGGTTTAGGGGTTGTTGCGATGTCGAGTTGGGCCGCGAATCGGTGCCGTTGGAACCGCTGGTCCATGTTCTTGCAAGGTGTGGCAGGTTCAGACGGGTTCCTGGCAGTGTCGGGAGGCCGATGTTAAACCGTGGTGTTTTCGGGCTGTCAGATTCCTCGTCCCCTAGCCTTTGCATCCCGTTGCCGGGACGCCTCCGTGAAGAGAGGGAAGGCCTTGTGCCAGGCAAGCGCCTCGACCGAGGTCGTGAGCCCTCTTCCATTTCTGGTTGTGTAGATGGCCCTGCCAGAGCCTGCTGCTCGATATCCTCCCCCTGCGAGGAACGTCCTCGCCTAAGAAAATCCATGGTGAGTAAGTTGAATTGTATGCCAGACACTTTGCCGTTGAGAGTTGGCAGATGAGCTGGAGTTATCACCGTTCAAGCTCCTCGCATTCTTCGGTGTATAGCGTTGGCTCAGTCAAGGTGAGCAGTCGTCGAGTGTTCCGTCGTCGTCCAGCGGCAGTCGTCAATGGCGTTGGAGGCGCAGAACACAACGGCGTGGTTCCCCTGTTGGCCAGTTGCACAAAGGGATCGAGTCAGCCGCGACAGGAAGAACAAAGGCTATCTTGTCTCCTGGTGCGGCAGTGGCGAGCTAAAAGCAACGGGTGGGAAACGGCCGCAAAACGCTAATGATGGTAGTCGATGACTTGACGGCGCCTTGTTGATGAGAGGAGTCCCAAGGGATAAAAAGGGGCGCCTTGCGTAGTCGAAGGAAGGCTGATACTCGCGTTCGCAGGAGCACAGTTTGGAGGAAAGGGTATCAAGAAGAGTAACGTTGGCTAGGTAATACAGCTCCCGGAGCTAAGAGAACAGGCGACGGTCTACAGACAGCGTGACCTAAGGAGGAGGAAGAGGAAGGAGAATGAACTAGTTTGACAATGAGGGCGAGAAAGCCAGACGGGCTAGCAAGAAGCAGAAGATGAGGACAATGCCAAAAAGGCAGCTGGCGCCAACATGACGCTGGGCGCGATGGGGATTGGTGAAGAAGGAGGAGCAGATCACAGAGGGACTGATAAAAGAAGGGAGCAAGTTGCGATGGGCCAACGGCAACCTAGGTACAGGGTGGCAGGCGTCGTTTCCGAGCGTCCTCTTCGTGGTCCACCGGCGACCTCAGCCAGCAGTTCGGTCCAAGGCAGGGCTAGGCAATGCGAGGGATGGTGTATGCAATGTCAAGCCAAACATGAGAGGTAAGGAGGCGTCGATGGGCTAACGAGTCTGGCGTCTGCAGCATGCGGTTGGTCTAGGTAGATGTGTGTCGTTTGGGGATCAGTGTACGGCGGCACTGGACAGGACCAGAAAAGAAAGCGGCGAAGTTGGTCAAGCAGACGCCACGCCAGTCTCATCCCAGCGTGTGAGGGATTCTGCGACTTGCGACTCTGGAGAACCTGGAAGGAGGAGCAAGCGGACAGGATAGGGGTGTTTGAGAGGGCAGGACGAGAGTAGGATCTGACGAGGGAGAGGGGGGATTGGGGGAGGAAACGCGCAGGATCTGCAGCATCGAGGATGTAGACAGGTCGTAACGCCTACACAATATCTGCATTTAGACCCTTGCATCCTACCTACCTACATACGACAGCCGCAAGGTAGTCTTGGCTTGACCCAGACTTTGTTGTGGGCGATTCATTAGTGAGTGTACTTGTACGGAGTACTTAGTACAGAGAGATGAGATGGGATGGATGAGAATGTACCCGCAAGGTGAGGAAAGAAGGGCACTTCGTATGCAATGAAACTGAATCGAGGACGGCAAGGATAATGCAGGAAACCCTCCCTCCGTCTTCCTCTCTCTCTAGGCTCTCGCAGACCTACGGATGCTCGCAGTCTGAGCTCTTGAAGACTCGGCGCAGATGTAGCAGGGCTGGACGGGTCGGGTTCAGCCATCGATTGACGATTATTGACTTCTCTGACAATTGGAGTGTTGCACAGTAGTCAAGGGGGTTGCTTCTGGGAACTTGGGAGCCAATCGTATGGGGCGAATGAGTTGACCTCCTCGGACACCGTCACAACTTCACAACCCCCCGCACAGCGCGTGGGATTTGGGTACTCCGTAGAGTACGTACCGAATCAGGAAGTGCTCAGGGGGCCCGGTTGGAGGAAAAAACGTGTTTCGGATTCTTGTGTCAACGCGCGCCAACCCTCATTCGGACTAGACCCATCATGGCACGCGGAAAGGGGCTCTCTCATTGGAGTCTTTGCTTGTCTTGAAGAAGGGGACGCCAACCCAGGCCCCCCATGGTTTGGGCTGGCGTTTGGCGTTTGGCGGTTGGCGTTTTGAGTCTCCCCCCAACTTCACTTCGCGTCTTCCATTTTGTCTTTCCAACTGCTTTGCCTCCAAAGTTCTGTACCTCCGTCCGCACAAAAAACTGTGAATAGCAATTGTAGGTGACATTGGCGGCAAGAATAGCAGTCTTTCGCGCCTCAGCTTAGCGTCCTTTACGGATCATTCGTCTCGCTTGGATTCAGATGGTTCCCGTGATCAAACTCCTGTGATGAACCCTGGCATCTAGGTACGCAGTACGGAGTACGGACTACGGAGTAACTCCCACGCAGTAATGAAAACCCATGCCTCTTGCGCTAATGTGGGGGCTATACTCCACTTATAATCAGATTTCTTCTTATAGAAAACATTCATTATTCAAATGGGAGAGCAGCAGCCTTCCATTTGGTCGTGCACGGATACCACCCGGACACGGGTCTTGACAACAAAATTGCACTCATCACACATTGTCACGATGAGCCGTTGTTGGCGTCTCTCTCGTGTGCCATTACCTCAGCGTACGATTTTGCTTTTATGGATGTTAGCTGCCGTGAGTACACATGTGACAGCTCCAGAAGGTTTCGCGGTGCGCCGCCCAATTGAATCGAGACACATAAGCTGGGACACTTAAACATTCGGAGCCGACGCCCCTCCGCGTCACCGTCCAAAGTCACTGCATTCAACACTTGTACTATTTCTTCTTTCTACTCCTTGATTCGGACTCGGTCCGTCAGATTGCGCAATGTTCCGGCCTCCAGCTGCGTTTCTAATCTTTCTAGAAGCCGATAGAGTTCAACGTCCCAGAAACTTCCGCATCATGACCGCGCACCACACGATCCAAAGAGGAAACACGGGGCCCATGGCCCTTGCTGGACATATGGCTGTGGGCAGCCTAGCAGGCTGGACATGCCCGTGACATTATCTCATTACAAGAGTCATTCAATCGGGGACCATGCCTCTGCAAGCCGAATTACTCCTTGTTGAAGCTACGGTGCTGCTAACTTGGTATTTCCTGTGAATCGAACCACGCGATCTTGTCTCAAGGTTGCCCTTATGAGACAAAACGAAGACACATCGGATGAGCATTTTTAGGCCGTATTACTCGCAAACAAACACGCCTCGCCCAAACTCCCTGTGTAAGCCATATGCAGCTGGCACCCGCCGGTATCGGCATTTTCCTGTAATTCCAAGCGGCAGTTCCCGAATATTTCTGCCCGCCTTTGCGTTATCTGATCTATTCCAGTGTTCACGAGATTCTGCCATGATCAACACCGGACACTCATGCTCGTGTCCCGTTTGTGCCCCCTGCTGCCATACCGGGATGATGTGCCGTTGCAGATGGCACTTACCAGGGCTTGATATTAGTCGCTAGGACCAAACGTTCCTGGCTTGTTTGCGATGCGATGATACATGGATTGCATATCCGTAGAGCGTCTCTGCGCCGCATACGCACCACATAGTCCGCACCGAAAGCAGGCAGGCAAAATATTGAGTTTGTACAACATCAGAAGACGCGGACTACGCGTCGACGATGTGGCTATTCTGGAGAAAGTCCACTGGTGGTGGTTTCCTTCAACGCAGCTCCCCCAGTAGCATATTCCGATCAGACGACGCGGAAAGTACTATCGCAAATTTGTTAGCCCAACGTCAACTGTATCGCGAAAAGAGATAATGCTCACCGATGGGCTCCGTTCCGGGCGCGAACTCGACACAGTTGACGGTTCCCTTATGACCCGGAAGCTTATATAGGAGCTTTCCAGTCTCACTAGACCAGATAGTCGCTGTACCGTCTCCGGACCCGACAGCCACCTTCTTGCCTTCGGAGTCCCAGCTAGCCTTGATGAGGTTCTTCTCCAGGCCCATGGACGCGCCGTCGAACGTTCTGATGGCTCTATCGGTCGGGGCAAATGGCCGAATGTCCCATGTCCTCACCGTGGAGTCCATGGCATATGAAAGCAAAGATTGCGAGTCCGGAGAGACTCTGAGGGAGGTGATCGTATCTTGGTGTCCCAGCATCGAGTACACGACCGATTTTTTGCGCAAGTCCCAGACTTTAATGTCATTGTCGATGCCTCCCGTGTAGACCTCGTTTCCAGCCTCTGACATGGCGATGGCCGTAATGGGAAATTCCGTCTGGATGTAGTCTGCTGCGTTCTTTGATCTCGGATCCCACAAGCCGATAGAGCCATCGTCACTTCCACTAACTAGCATATCCTCGCCTCGTTTGCTGAGGTCCACTGTATTGACAATCTCTTCGTGGCCGATGTATCTTCGTATTCTTGTTCCGTTCTCGAGGTCCCAACTTGCCAGGTGCATGTCTGCCGAAGCCGAGAAGACTATTTTGGAGTCTCTCGACCATTGCAGATCTAGAATTGCGCCTCGATGGCCGTTAAGAATGCCGTAGTTTTCGCAGTCCCCATACGTTCGCCACAATACTACTCGCGAATTAGCTTCGCCTCGCCAGCGATACAGAAGATATTTAAACTGACAAATGCTTCTGTCCATAGATCCTGAGGCGATGAAATTGCCCGTTGGGTCGAATTTCGCAGCAAAGATCTCGCCTGAGTGACCAGATAGTTCCATGACCGGTGCCTGCAGGTTACTTGTGCGCGGTGTCTGTCGGACAGGCCGTCAGTAAGTTTCCAATTGACAATGAAGAGTATTCGCATACCACCTGCACTAACGCGCTGCTCTTCCCTGAGGCGTTGAGCCTTGCTAAAGCTCCTGTTGAAGATCCCACATTCTGACGCTTCACGATCATCTGGCTTGCGCCGAGTTCGTCATCCGCCGGTCTCTTCTCAGCAGACATGGCTGCAGTCGTCGAACGTGTTTCTCGAGGCTCGTGGGTGTTCTATTCGAAGCAGGATCGTCATATGGCGTAGATCGTGCTGGTTCGCGTCGATTTGAATGTCAATTGAATCGGGCCAGCGGTTGTTGACTAGAGAAAATGCGTTGGCTGAGGTCATTGGCCCATGCGAGGTTGGGATGTGGACGGAGCTTGCTTCTGCCGATCCCCGAGCTAAAGGTGGGACCTCGATTCAGAGGACCTGGAGAGTCCACCTCGGTGCATCTCCATACCTTGCGTCGAGGTACACTACCTTACCTAGCAGTGCGTAAATTACCTCCTGGGTAGGTATCCGTGCCTGGCTTTCATTGCACCTCGCGCAAGCTTATCTTATCTTCAACCTCACCAATGTCCACGAACACCAGCTGGCACCCCACGGTCCATTCAAGCCTCTCGTTCAACTTCGATCAGTACGACAACCGACGACGGCAATAGCCCTTGCGACCGCCGTATTCACCGATATTGAAGACTTGCGACTGCACTTCACTGTACGACGTGAACGGCCCAAGACAACCCACGTGAACGACGCAACGTGCTTGCGATCCAAGGCGGCAGCCACTTCCGCGACACAGCCCGGTACCAGGCATCCGACGCCAGCGATACTTCCCTCCCTTACTACTTGGCAGGCGTCTGCGAGAAATCATGGCCGCAAGCAAGGCAACCCGCTTGGGAGAGGAGTGCGTTTTCCAGCCAGACCCGAGCGTGGGTAGACAGAAGCTAACAATGCAGCAGAATCTGGAAGTACGTTGCGTGGCACCTGAATGCCCAAGAACGAACAAGTCTGACGTGCTCGAATGTAGAACCCGTATAGACAAAGTCAATGCCGAGCTCGTCACCCTCACCTACGGAACAATTGTTGCGCAGTTGTGCAAAGATTACGATAGCGACTATGTAGAGGTCAACAAGCAGCTGGACAAGATGGGATACAACATCGGCCTTCGTCTCATTGAGGATTATTTGGCAAAATCGAATACAATGAAGAGATGCGCAAACTTTCGCGAGACCGCAGACGTTATTGCAAGAGTACAGTCCCCTTGATTCATCAGGTATTGAGCCTGCATGCTGACCATTGCGCACTCTAGGTCGGCTTCAAGATATTTTTAAACATCACACCACAGGTGACCAACTGGACGACGGACAACAAACAGTTCTCGCTTGTGTTTGACGAAAACCCTCTCGCAGACTTTGTCGAGCTGCCCGATGACGAGCGAGCGCAGGATGAGCTCTGGTACTCCAATATCTTTTGTGGAGTCTTGCGGGGAGCTCTTGAGATGGTGCAGATGCAGGTCGAAGCGCACTTCATCAGTGACGTTCTGCGAGGCCATGATACGACCGAGATGAGGGTATCATTAGTGCGGTACATCGACGACGAGCTTCCTCCCGAAGATGACTAGATGTGATTGCATCTTGCCATACAACGTTGTTCTTTACTATAACCAGATGTGCTACAATGGGTTGTCCCGCATCGACACAAATTTGCTATCTGTCGATGGAAGTCTGGAAAATAGCGCGCGGCCTCAATTCCCTGTGCGCTGGTGGACATAGAGGGCGAGGCCAGCTTCATCGCCCATGATGATGCGCCAAATGCACCTCCATGGAATCATGAAGTAGGTGAATATCGAGGCCAGGCGTGTATCACATGTAACAAGATGGAGACAACCGGTAAAGCGCCTAAGACGCAGTCATGACCTGCACGATATTAAAGAGACTTGTTCGTGCGAAAGTCACCACTGCCAACGTGAAAACCCGAAGTTGGAAGCAAGTGTTGATATGATGTTGCTGTAATTGGGTACAAGGGTGGGGCAGACTAGTTAGAGAAAAGATCATTTACTGAACTGGGCGTCTTCAAGCACATGATTATATGTAGATGTGGTTTCTTTTCAAAATTCCTTCGGGCAAGCTGTGTTTGCGGGGATTCCGCCTCTATTCCCGCATGCCTTGAAATGAGTCTTGAGACAAGTTGACTTCCATGGAATTGCCCAATAGACGGACAGTAAGCATTGAACTTCATTCAAGTGAGCACTTAAGAAAAAGAGATTTCACCACCGGTGTGGCTACGTCTCTTGGTGCTCATGCTTGGAGTCGAACTCGAGTACTCGTAGCCTGTCATCGAGTAGGCCGTGGGCGAATTGATTGGTGGCCTTGAACCATCCCATCATCCAGCCAGTTTGTCCCGATACCGGGACCTGGGGGGCGGCCTGCTGTTGCTGGTAACAGGAACTGACTTGAGAGGGTATATGAGGGCTTCTTGACGCATGTGCGGAAGGTATGATGAACACCTGCCTTCAGGACAGCCGGCCGATCTTCGGGAAATGTGGAGCATTACGGGACCCGACATGGGGCTCTTGGGACGGCAAAGTGCCCGGATTCTTCTGACAATATGGGTACAGTACGGAGAGGCCGTGTACAGCAGCAGCAAAGCCGGACAGTTCACAACAAGAGCATAAGCAGAAAATTTGCACGCATGGCAATCACATATGCAATTTGAGCAGAATTACCAGGCGACAACAATTTGCGAGTCTCTATTCTTCATTTGCCCTTGCTTCAGTTTATTGGATCAAATGTTTTCAAGTTTACTCCTGTCGAGATGATGATACGGAACCTTAAGCTTGCTCGAGAGGTCCGTGCTACGGCCCATGGCTTGCCTTTCATTTCCCGACTAAAGCTGTGAGTTAATTATGGATACTCAGGCTCAGAGAACCTGCGAATGATCATACTGTGGTTGTATGGGTAAGTTTAACCTCTGGCCATGTATTTGCGGGCAGCGGCCCACTGGACTGGGGATCTGGGCAACTCGACTGGCTGAAGCCCAGCTACGAGCGTCGAAGTACCGTTGCTGAGATAATCGGAGTGGTGCGCCACAGATACCTGACAGGGGGTTTTACTTTGGCCTGATACCGCAGTAATTACTCCTTGGCTTATTGCCGAATGGAGAGAACAGGTCCCTTTGAATACCTAGGCCTCAATGTGCCATATCGGTGTTGCAGAAGCCGTCGTGCAACGGACTTGCCGTCACATAGGTACACATCTGAGCGCAAGAGAGCAGGAACGAACCACGTCGGCTCTATATTCACAAGCAGGTGAGCGCATTGATTGGAACGAGGCTGTACTGAAAATGCAACAATCGCATCCCAGGCGACGTTGGAGTCATTGGTCATACTCGTGTCGCGCGGCGTGTTCAAGGTGCCTGTGACATTGTGCCTCACGTGACAGACGGGTCAAAGAAGCTTAGGTATACACCTGAGGCGAGATGCTTCTCGATGTGCTTGGAGCCTCCAGTCAGCGTTACTGCGTAGAGCAAGAAACCCGTAAAAGGCAGCGGGGGGCGGGATATCGGATACCAAGTGCCTTGGGTGGATCGTGAATGGTAGTCGCTGTCAGACCTCTCCACCTCACGTCACGAGAAGCTGAAGGGCAGACGCGTCTAGTGTATGGCGGACAGGATCTCATTTTGACTGAGACGTCTGATGGAGCGCGTTTTTTGGTGCGGCCCATTCAAGATGCGACGTTAGCAGAAGTGTGAAGATTGGGTACGCTGGTGGAGGCGGCGCGCAGCTAACACCCGGTACCGGGTCATAAGCTCGACGTGCCACAACGCGACTTCCAGCATGGCACCCCGGGCTCCCATGGGCCATGCCGACGAGATAAGGTAAGGTAAGGTAGGTACTTGAGATCACTACCTTAGCTCCAGGGGAGGGTAAAGGACCTTAACGTGGGTTGGTGGGAACATGGGGTTAGATAGCTAAGGTAGTCCGGAGCCTTCTGAAGCTTCAAGCCCAAGCAGGTACCTTAACGGGTACCTACCGCCCTATAGCTTGAGGGCTCGTTCGGAGTCTTTCAGTTCGCCTAGGTAAGGTAGTACCCGGAGAGCTGGAAAGCAAGCAAGCACGCAAGTTGGAGGTGGTTGTCGATTTTTTGCCTCTGACGATTGGGTGTGTGGCCTCAGGCAACAAGCGGTCTCAGATATTCGCAGCTCATTCTGAGATATGCGGCATGCCCGGCGCGGGTGCGCGCCTCACCTCGTGCTGGGCACCTCACCTTCCTTACCTTAGGTTGCCTACCTTACAGGACTGACTACCTTCCCTACCTTACCTAGGTACCTTGGGTTATGTGGCATAGCGGCCTACCCGTACTTCGTTCAGTGCTCGTGAGGTCTCTAGAATCTCAAGTTTGAGGTGAATAGGTAGAGATCCCGCCTCCTGCCCAAGCGTCGCATGCCCCGAAAATTGGGAAAATCCCAACCCCATCCTTCCCACTCTCCCACTCCCGTCCGTCCTGGTCTTCCCGTCCTACCTTACTTCCCACCCCGACTGTGTTTTTCTGCATTCAAGCATTGTCGACTAACACCTTGAGGTACGGAGTACGCAGTAGGTGCCTTGCCCTCTAACCCAAGGCGCCCCTCTCTTTCTTCCCTCGTCTTCTCGCTTCCTCCGACCTCTACTTCCGCCTTTCCCTTTCCTCCTCAAATCACCAATCCACTTCCACCCCTTGGACATTGGATGGCCTCGCATGCCGATCTCATCCCCAATGCCAACGTGGTCTCGATAACGTGTTTGTTACTCTCCTGAGTCCTCATTCATGGTCACTGCCCTCGCGCCCCGCGAGACACTCGTCCACCTTCAAACCGACCTTGCCTGATCTGCCTAGCGACCGCGGCTTTAGGGACCGATCAGTCGACCTTCGCTACGGAATAACATCCCGCCATTCTCCACAGCTGCTAACACCGACGAAGCCAGACCTTACAGACCGACCATATCACTCACCTCACCCATTATTAGCAGTAGCACCACCGCCCAGAACCACGGTCGTCCTCCACGTCCACATCCACCTTCACTTCGACACTGCTTTCCCCCCCGGAGAGCGAGGAACCCTCCCTCTCCCTTCTCCCCCCAAAACCCAAACCCAAATCCAAATCAAATACCTAGCCACCCAGAAGGGGCCACACTGCCATATCCTGAGCCACAGCCTGAGCCAGAGCAAGAGCCAGAAACACCAGGTCTTCCTACCCCCGACCCCCGAGTCGCCCTGCTTTCCCTCCTCCTGTCTTTCATCTTTCCACTCTTCCCATTTCCTTTCAAAGTCCCACTCCCTCACCTGCAACTGCCTTTGGTGGCCCATCCCGTCGCCCTTCCGCCTTCTTCAACATCTCGCCCTCGCATCAATCCTCCTCCCCCTCTCCAACCCAAATCCGCCACAGCTTTTGTCGCTGCCACGTCTTTCGACTCTTTTTTTTTTTTTCCTTCATCTGTACCAAACCATATCTCACCACCGCCATCATCACCGGTCGCGCATCCCGCCATCTGTCGCGCGCTTCTGTCTGCACTCCCCAGCCTTTCTCTTATCCGTCCAACTGAAGGCTCCTTGTACCCTTGCGCCCGACCGCTGAATCCGACACGACTTTGCCGCCAGCCGGCTTTTTAGCGCACCGCGTAACCACGTACACGCTCTGCGACACTCCCACCTCCAACCACAAGGTGGCTGACCGACAAACTTTTGACGACATCGACACTCTTTCTTCGCTTCCGAACAACCACCATCCTTCAATCAACTTCTCCTTCATCCATCGCATCGACCTCACCCCATCTCGTCGGGCAGACGCTTGTCTGCAGCCCGGCTCACAATCATGAACGCCAACGTCAATCCCAACCTGGCCAACATGAACGCCATGGGCGGTGGCCCTGTTGGCGCGCCCGTCCCTATGATGAATAATGGCGCAGTCGCTCCCCAAGTCGCCGGCGGTCCACGACAGATGACCATGCCCACCGAGAGCCAGCGCACTCTGCTCAACACCTACATCTACGAGTACTTCCTCCGCCATCAAATGTTTGATTGCGCGAGATCCCTCCTTAATGGAGACCACCAAGTGAATGTCATGAAGGACGGCGCCAACCGCCGGAGGGACGAGAACGGTAACCTCATTGGCAATGGTCTCGGTGACGACCCCATGGACACCGACTCCAAAGACGACATTGACGCGAAGCTCCCTGATGACCTTCCGGCCCCCAAGCTGCCCATGCCTGCCTCAGAATCATCCTTCTTGTACGAATGGTTCTGCCTCTTCTGGGACATCTTCCACGCGCAACGAACAAAGGGTGGCAACGGTCCCGTCAATCAATATGTCAGCCATACTCAGGTATGTCGTTATCCGTCGGCGGTTCTCTGTTCATGTCTGGATCATCACTAACCGAGCTGAATAGCAGCAATCCCGCATGCGACAGAACCAACAGCAAGAACTTCTCCGCCAAATGCGCCCAGACGGCATGGCCGCCCAGCAGCAATATCACTCCCAGATGATGCGCAACATGCAAAATGGCGGTATGGCCATGAACATGCAAAAGGGCAACTTGGCACGGGCCGCCATGGCGAATAATCAGAACAAGTGAGGCTTCACAGATTCGTGCCTCCCTTCATCATGTGCATGGCTTGCTAACCCAAATCCCCTCTTACAGCCCCCAGGCCATGCAAATGCTTCAGCAGCATGCGAAGCAAACCCAGATGCAGCGAGATCCTTCGGACATGGATGGCAACCGCCAGCGCCCCTCGTCGCCTGGGTCTGGTGAAAACGCTCCTTCCCCCTCCAAGAGACCACGCCTGGACGGTGCGCCCAACTTCCCGAACCAGGCTGGAATGATGCCGAACGGAAGACCTCAGCAGGGCATGCCTGGCCAGCAGGTGGGGACCACCCCGAACGTAGCTCAAGCCCAGCAGATGCTCATCACCAACGGAATCAACCCGGCGTCGCTGACCCAGCAGCAGTTTACGACATTCTCAAACCAACCACCTGCTGTCCAAGCTAAGTCTATTGCTACATATGCGGCAAACCTCCAACAGCATCAGGCTAGCCAGATGCCTAACAAAACCATGCCTAACGCGCCCGGCCCCCAGGGCCAGGGCTCACCCATGATGGCTCAAGGCCAAGAAGGTGCCGGGCTGGCTGCGTACTACAATGCTGGGGAAATGGGTCCAGGAGGAATTCGGCCTGGCCCTGGCGGTGCCCAAGCCGGTGGTGGAAGTAACCACGCTCTGCAGGACTATCAAATGCAGCTAATGCTTCTGGAGCAGCAGAATAAGAAAAGGCTCATGATGGCCCGCCAGGAACAAGATAACATGGGCGGAGGTGCCATACCCAGAGACGGTCCCGCCGGGCCTGGCGGCCCTGGCGCACCTCCTGGTCCCAATGGTCAGCCTTTCCCGGAGACATCTCCCCAAGGCGCCAGAACCGGAGCTTCACCAAACCCAACGGAGCAGATGAAGAGAGGTACCCCGCAGATGAACAACGCTGGCATTCCTTCACCGCTCCCCGAGGGCGCTCAATCTCGTGGCTCTCCCAACCCTATGAACTTTATGGGTAACCAAATGGATCCGAATATGGCGCCACACTTCTTCAAGGGCATGGGCAATCAAATGGATGGGAACATGGCCGGCAACCCTCAGATGAATGGCGGCATGCGCCCACCCAGCTCACACCCTGGTCAGCAGTTCAACGGTCAGATGAACCCGCAGCAGATGATGGTCGCCCGGCAACAGCAGCAACAGGCGCAACAGCAGCAGCAAGCCCAGCAGCAGCAGCAGCAGCAGCAGCCACCTCAGCAGCAGGGACAGCCTCAGCAGGCCGGCCAAGGTGGTCAGCCGGTGCAATGGCAGCAAGGCGGGCCGAATGGTCAGATGGTGCCTCAGGGTCCTCAGGGATCTGTTCAGGGTACACCGCAGCAACGGTCGATGCCACCGCCATCTGCACCAGCTGGCGCCAACTCCAACCGGACGAGCACTTCCTCGCCTCAACAGGCCGCAGCGGCTCCCCCGACTCCGTCACAATCAAACAAGGCGGCGCCGAAGAAGAAGGATACCAAGAACACAAAGGCAAAGGTGAGCACATGGCAAGACACACATTGCAAAAACAAAACTAACACATGCGCAGGCTGCGGCGGGAAAGAAGTCAGGCAACAACAACCTGAACAGTGGCACTACACCAGCCGCCGACGGTGCAGATGCGGAGGCTGCAACACCTGCAACTCCCATCACTCCTGTCACCTCTGCCAACTTCACCAAGAACGGACAAAATGCCGCCGTGCCAGCCGTGCCCAACGGCCAGGCTGCTGCTCCTGCACCTGCCCCTCAGCCTCAGGTACCCCCCCAGGCACAACACGATGCCAACCAGAACGGAGGGTTCATGGACAACACGAACCCAATGGTGGACTTCGGTGCTATGGCATTCGCCGACCCGTTGGTCTCGGACAATGTTCTTAACGACTTCGACTTTGACTCATTTCTACACGAAGACGGCGACAATCAGGCCTTTGATTTCAACACGGGTTCATTTGGCATGGAAGGCGCCAACGAAATTGGCGCAGACTAGACGGTTTCTAAGCCTGACTTTTAGGTGTACGATTCTCTCTCGTCTGTGTCATGCCTTAGTTGTGCGTTAGGCGTTGTGTCGATTCCCCAGCCTGATTTCTCCGTGCCTCGCCATTCTGCGGTCGAGCGGCATGGCATTTGCGAAGCATGGCTATCTCCATTTGATTTATGGATGCGCTCAGAATACCAAAAAAAGGGGGTTTTACAGTCTAGAATACATCAAATCGGACTGAGCCCACATCGATTTGTTGGCATCTTGCCAACTGTAACTTTCAGGAGGATTTGCTCGACAATTGCAGTCAAGATAAAGCAGTCGGGCTTAACTCTCGCCGCCTCATCGAGCCTGTCACTTTCCTATTTCATATGCTTTGATTTACCAATCGCCTTTGGACGACGTTATGTGTGGCATGCACTTGACGGATTGCCTCATTGGCGGCATACTCCAATGAGTCGTTTTGCTGTTCAGCACAGCCTCGTTTTCAACGGCGATTTAATTCCCTTGCGTGCATGTGCCTGGGGTAACACGCATACAAACTTCACGTTACTTTTCTCCTTGTCGGTCGTTGGTGGACGGACCGCTTGCGAGAATTCTTGATCATTGGTTCTGGAGTTCTACTGGAAGGGTTCGCAAAGTTTTGTCGGGTGCCTTTCCTATCGAACCAGTGGGCGTAATCATTGATTGTACGTGGCATACGATGTGCGAATGCAGAGCCCGGTTTCGTTTGGTGGACCCATCAGTGTTCATTTGCAAAAGAGGTGACAAGAGAGTCCAAAAGGGGGCAGTTGTACCGGTTGTGGATTGAGTTGAGAGCATTGTATTTACTAGAAGGTCGGGGACACGTTCGATCACCAGCGTCGTCCTACTGTCGTCGTTGACCCTGGATCCTGTCGGATTATACTGTGGCGCGGTGCGGTATTGGTTTACGAGGATCAATCCATCTTTTTTTCATATCCTGGATGCCATCAAATATCAAAGTTCCCTCTGGCATCTCTGTCAATTATTCGTAGAAACATCACCAGCACTACTGCATTGAACATGACGATCACGATCATGTCTTCTCCTCAGAATGTTTCCGAAGCATGATCCAAGGAGGGAAGGCAAGCCTCAATGTGCACGAACCCTTCCATCTTTGGGGGGCGTTTGATACCGCCTACAATAATGGGAGCCTTCTGACTGTCAACGCGAACGTATCTGTGCTAGTGAGGCTTTCACATGTGGTCGCACGGCTCAGAGAGGCCTGTCCAACATCTTTTGCCCTGCCCTACCCTGAGCTCTAAGTTCCTTACTCGGCAAGGGAGATCCCCGCACCGCACCGGGCCTGGGTCGAGCACCGAGGCGGCAGGCGTGGCCGTGATCTACATACAAGTCGGACATTTTGCCAATGGTAATCTCGGGGAATTAGACGCGGGGCGGGGGCCTTTTTCTTCTCTTAATAATATTGGTAATAGTAATAAGTGCCGGTGGCCGGATGCGGCGGCGGACGCAACGGTTGTCGATCTGCAATCCGGGGTCGGTCGTGCGACGGGTTATCGGCGGGGACATTTAGAGGCTAGCACTGAGCTTGTTCCTCTGTTACTCTGATCGAGGGTCTAAGATCCAAGATCCAAGATCCAAGGGTGTGTACTCGGCAGTATGAATACGCGGCAGCCTTGTGGAAGAGGTGGATTACTGGGTAGGCCATCGTATATTTGCTGCTTTAAGGGGATGGTGTATAACATTCATAATCAAGAGGACCTTGATTAGTATCTGCGTTAGCTACGCATATCTATGATCTACACAACAAACTGGCTCTGTGTAGAAAATATTGCAGAATTCGGGTCTATCTAGGCACGTCACAGTGAGTTACACGAGCAAATGGTCTACATCCGCTCTCATAATTGTCATCAAATCCAGTGATACTTGTGTTCTGGGGGTTCAGATAACGGGGAAGGATTCCCGTGTTGGATTTCAACATTGACTACTATGTAGGCGGTAAAACCTGAGAAGTCGCTCCTCCTCTACGCCTGGTCAGGCCCGCAGGCCTAAGAACAGACGCAGATGGGTGAGCAGAACGTATGAGTGTAAAGGCAGCCGCTATCTATCGCTTTCCAAAAAGGGGTATATACCAAAGGGGCAAGAATTATCCTGTCTTGAGAAAAGGGGGAGTGCGTGCCAAAGGAGCCATGTGCGATTCGAACGTACGAGATTCGACATTGGGGCACTATGTGATGGCCGGAGTTCATAACATGACGGAGATATGTGAGAGCGGTGTCCGCGAGGCCGAGCTCATTACGCATACAGCCATTAGAGGCAGCTGCACTCAAGGCGACTGGTATACCGTGAGGTATCCGATCTCCATCATGCTTCCGTAGCCATCCTGAGTAGCGTCGGTAGGAGAACCCGGCAACGTGCCGCCTGAAATTGGTTAGCATTCTCATATACGACAAACGGTCAACCGAGGCAACAGGAGCGAGAAACATACCAACTGCTACATTCATAAGCACATAGTAGGGCATGTGACAGAGGGTCGCCCAGATGCCTTCATCACCAATATCGCTGCCCTTGAGCTGGTTGAAGACAACACCATCGCGGTACCATGTGATGGTCTCGGTGACCCAGTTGTTCGACGTGCGGTCCCACTCCAGTGCCCAAGTGTGCCAACCGTTGTCGGGCATCGAAGTAGCCACGCCACGGCCGCTGGGCTCGTTGCAGATGCCGCCGGATTCTTGTTGGCAGTGAACGGTACCCGTGGCGGTGGCCTGGCCGTTGATCTGTTCAAAGATGTCGAGCTCGCCGCAGAGGGGCCACTGAACCCCGTTGCGAACGGCATCGCCCAGCATCCAAAAGGCAGGCCACATACCCTGCTTATTTGCGTTGTCGCCCATCCTGAACATTGACTGGACCCGCATCTTCCCTCCCGGCTGGGGTGTCCACGCTGCCTTTGTCTCGATACGCGCAGATGTCCATACGCCGCTTGCTGACTTTCGGGGAATGAGCTGGATGGTTTCACCACCTGATATTTGGACGTTCCAGGACGATTCGGTGTAAGTCTGGACCTCGTTGTTCGTGTCGATGGCCAAGGCGACGTTCCATGTGTCACTTCGAGGGGGTGCGCCGGCGTTTCCTTGGAAGGTCTCGGACCAGATGATTCTCATGCCATCTTGTGCTGGGGGCACAAGAGCTCCGACGAACGGCGTGAGAGAAAAGAGAAGTTGGGCGTATTTGGAAAGCATTTTCATCTCGTGTATTTGCTGTTACTGACTGACTCCTCTTTCTGTTCGTCTAGTATACTGAATGAATGGATTGGTATTGAAGTCCGTGGGTTCGATCTCGTCTATTTGCGAGCGTTCCGGGGATGAAAGTGAATGGACGATGATATTCAAATGAACGTAATCACCAAGAAAAGAATGTAACGGCGCTGGGCCTAGTAAGTGAAAGTGGGTGCGGTAGAGAGCGAGAGAGGCGGCAAAAGCACATAGTTACCAACGGGCAGCGAGGCTGGGTCGCCTCTTTATATACGGCCAGGAGAAGTTCCTACATGGGGATGGTCTAGACAACGCACATTGGGAGGAACAACCTTGCATTGGGACAACTTGACCAGGGAGCAGGACGACAAGGATACTATGCCGAGAGCAGGCGATGAGTTACAACGGGTTAAGGAGGAGCTTGTGCCATGCCCTTGTTATCGCATATGGTTGGATTAGGGTAGTTGTCCAGAGGCGGCAACGCAGAGAAAGAGATTGACGTGGGGAGTCAGGATGAAACGCCCAGAAGCGGCCAGGAATACCCAGTGTGGCGGTGACGATGGCCTGCCTACTTCGCAACTCGGCACAGTCTTCTTGGTGGACTCTGGCTCAGCCGCTCAGGTTACAGTACGCAGTATCCGCACAGCAGGAGAGCCAAGAATGGTCGAGCAAGGGTATAAACTGCAGTCTGCCAGACAGGTCGTGGACGGTAGTGAGTGGTACATTAGGGCAACGAGGTGAATATGGATACATGGCAGGGAAAGCAGGGGTTATTTCCAGTACCTACACAAAGCCATGGCGACTGCAGAGAGGAGTTCGACACGGGTAGTGGGCGTGGCAAGGCAAGGGAGTCCTGATCTGCGTCGGACAAGACGACAGCCGCCATAGATAGGGGCCAGCCTAAGATCGAGACCAAGATGTGGACAAGGAAGTTGACGTTGGCCATGGATAAGCCAGCAGGTACTCCGTACTTGGTTTGTGCAGTGAACCGTAAGAGCGAGCCAGGGCAGGAAGAGCTGGATAAGGGAATGGAGCAGGAGGGTTGGCTCTTTCAGAATTGACTCGTCAACGATCTCCATCGGTCCATCCATATCCGTACATACACATGGAATGCTGTGGAGACAAGAAAAGAGGCTGAGGTGCGATTACAGACTCATATGCAGACGTGATATTGGTACTCCGTAGGCATGGTGGTATGGGAGAGAACGGGGCTTTGAGAGCAGTCGAAAAAGAAAAGGGACGGGGCCCGTTGGCGGCGCATCCGAGCCAAGGATCGACGACGGATACTGCCTGCACTGGCCAACGGGTGTCATTGGCGGTTCATCTGTAGTCGGTACCGAGCGTCAGTTGCATAACCTTCAATTTGGGCACCGCGGCACTAGGTACCTGGCAGATCCATACTGCGGCCCAAAAAAACAAATGCAGTTAATCGTCCAGTCAGGAAGGACCAAACCTCTGAAAAGGAGGTGGACTCGGGGCATTTGTCTAGAGTCGGGGTCGATCAGAAAAAGAGCCTCGAAAGGGGAGGACAGTACTCCGTACACTAGGACTAGGGGTTTCGGACGTGGGGGTAACACGAGCCGTGATATCCGTCCATTGGATGGGCTCAACCCTCACCTTACAGTAAGTAGGTAGACTTCGTCTAAGTATTTTGCTGTGCACACTCAATGTGTACAGAGCATCCGTAGACATCTGGTGTGAGTCGTACGAATCTGAATAAGAAGGCTGCAGGCCAAAAGCTTTGCTTTCTGCAATTCTTCAAGCTGTCACCAGCGGCCACGGCTGCCCTCCTTCCTTCTTTTCAATTTCCTATCAAGTTGTGCAATTGCGTGTGGCTGCACTCAATGGTGTGGCAGGCGGGCCATTCTCGCCAAGATGGGATCGTCAAGTGCCCCTGAATATTCAAAAGTTGTACATGAAGAGTGCAGGCACCAGGATGGCACAGGCAGCGCTGCCCAGGTGCTGAACCGGCAATGCATGCTCTGAGACAACAAATGGCAGGGTATCTTGACAGGGAGACGCCGGCCCAAATCCACAAATGGGTCCAGCACCGCTTACAAGTTGGACCACATCCACCTGGGACAACGGAGATTTCTTCCCTCTCAAGAGTCCCGACTCGATTGAGTTGGCACCTTAACGGAACTCTACGCAGTACGGGGTATTCTGTAGGAGGCCTCGAGATGAGCCCTTGAATACCTTTAGCCGCTCGCAGACGAATACTGCGTATGCGTATCCGTACTTATGGATAAGAGATGCAGCTCTAGTGTACGATAAGCGAATGCCTTCCATCGCACGCTCGCGCAAAAAAGAATTTCATAAGGCTTCAGCGCCGTTGAGTGCCACCTCACCTCCGCCACTGTGACTTTTGTGCCCCCATCCATGAAACTGAAGACTCCCGCAATGGAAACGAACTGCGTTGTCATTCTCGGATGAACCACTACAGCTGTCACGTGTTTCAAGCAAGGGGGTTGATTGTGGCTGTCAGTGTCCAGTCATCGCATCACCACATTACGCATAGCCATGCCTTATGTCAGAACGCGTGACTGTATCATTCATGTGCTACCTTCATCCATGAAACTGTTGTCGACCTCTCTCCCGAAGCAAAAATGAGACGTTTCATTACGGTGCAGCCAACCCACGCCGTAGTAAACCAACAGAACATCAATAGTAGTACTATGTATCCTGCAATGCTGTCGTGTGCTTGAAAAACTGGCAACTCATGGTTGCTGGTACTGCAACGCGATTATTTCATCTGCTTGTGAGTCGCATTGTCGGTCCTGGCAGGACCAGCTCCATGAACTGTTCCGTGGAGTGGTGAACTAGATTCCCTGGCTCTCTCTGACCAATGTCAGGCAGCACGCAATGTGCAGCTTCTGGGTAGAAGGTGCCCATGTTCTTACTGCGGCCTGCTCGCCGTAGTTGGATAGACTTGTAAGTCGAGGCCTGCGTAAGGACTTGCTGGGCCGTGTAGGCAGTATTCAACCTGCAGAGCAGATGGTATTACCGCTCGCGCCCGGAACCGCGGGTCCAAATACATCTCCCAGCTTCTCACCTAGCCGCACAATGGTGTGCTCATAGACTCGTGCTGCGTCCATGTAGAGACTGTCCTCGTCTTCGATCCACGGCGTGTCCATCGCATCTTCCAGCTCAGTGTCGCTATTCATGGAATTTGCGTCAGTCTCATCGTCTTCCGTGCCGTCGTCTCCGTCGGGCTCCTTGCTAAGGACCTCCACAATGACCAGTCGTGTCTGCTCCACCGAGCTACGGCATCGCACCATATCTGTCGTAGACATGCCAGCTCTCATGCCGTTCTCAAAGCCGGGCAAGGTGTCTTTAGTCTCGATATCGCGTCCAATCAAAAGGCTTGCGAAGCAATGGTCCAGCTTTTTCAAGACGGAGAAGGTAGCTCTCGGGGCAGGAGTAAAGGCGTCAATCCACTGCGTGAAGTCGCTGGCAATGTTCAAGAGGAAGGGAATCTGTATGCTCGCTACAAGACAGAGTCAGCAATAGTACCGGCGTTCAACTCAAAGCAACGCCGATTTTCGAGGGAGATGGGCGAGTTCCTCACGTGTTCCGGACAGCCACAGGACGTCGATGACGTTATGTAGGTCCTTGCAAAGCTCCGTAAAGCTCTTGTAGCCTATGACATCGTCGCCGGGCTCAGCATTGCCATGCTTCTTGACATAACGACGATTGACAATGGCGAGACGTTCCTCAACGTACCGGCGTACCGTCTCTTCCTTGTTGGAACCTGGTCGGAGCGATCTCGCGCGGGGATGCGGCAAAGCCGCACTTGAGCGCGCGGAGGCACTACTAGGAGCAGGTGAAGGGAGAGATTGCAATGGAAGGAAGCCGCCAGGACCCGCAGGCTGCGGAGTGTCAGTCATTATGTCTAAGCACGTTGCCAGTTACTCCAGAGTCGATGCTGCTTTGCGCATTGCCCGCGGAGAAATACCCTCGGCCTTATACAAAGCCCCGCCCCTTCAAGGTTCTAGCGACGTGGCGTAGTGGTCTATAAGTTGTAGCGCAGACTAGCAAGGCGATTGGGACGTCTGTACGTAGGTAGTACGGATACGTAGAAATATTACCTGAGCTGAGTGAAAGGGTAGAGGAGATCAAGGTAGGTAGGTAATTACCTTGGTAGCGGCTCCTACTAAGCACCTCAAGCAGGCAGGTACCTTACCTAGGTATCCGTACGTAGGTAGGGTAGAGGTACTTTATCAAGCGCTTTATCTTATCTCCGATAAGAGCTATGATTCCTACCCCAGCCACAACAGGGCCTTGCCATATGTGGCTTGCGCGTGGGTGACGTCCAGTCAAAAAATTTCGGCCCTGTACGCTTTCCGCGTGAAGTCAAGCCGACCGATCGCGTTTACGACCTCACATCCCGCCCCTTGCTGCAATCACATCACCGTACACCACAACTCCAAGCTCAACTCGCAAATCGTTCTTTCTTTGCGTCCTCGAATCCAATTTTTCGTCATGCCTGCCAAGAGAATCGTCGTCCAGAGAGACAACCAACGCTCTCGTCAGCCCAAGGGTTACTTCAGATCAACATACGATGCGTTGACTTCTTCTGAGAATGCACCCATCGTGCGCAGCGTCGCCATCTTCGGCGTAAGTCACCATGGGCTTCCAGACCACTGATCTGTGAGCTCTGCTAACGTTCCATGCAGGCAGCTGTGACTTTCCTCTCCAGCTCCTGGGGCGAGTTCCTTCTTCCTCCGTAAGTTGCTCGTCACTTTGAGCTCCAATTCAAGGTTGCTGACGCTTCGACTTCGCAGTCAATAAACATCTATCTACAATCGAACGACGGCTCATGTATAATTACGTCCTTTTTTGCCGCAATAGAAGCTGGCTGTACAATACTCGAAGAAAGGTAGCCTCTAGGCTACGGGGAATGGCATCTGAGGTCTGGTGTTGACCTCGATGTCACGGCTCGCACTGGCTGGCTTTAATGAATCTCACTCTGACACAAAAATTATTCATTTGGATGCACTTGTGCCGTGAATATGTTCAACTAACAGGGAGTGTGCACGGCGGTTGCTTCGACAGTGTCGCAAGTCTACCTCGCGTGCCTAGCGCCATCTATCGACTAGGACACCAGCAGTCTAAACAAGCAGTGCAATGATGGCAATCAATTAGGCGGTACGCAACCGTATTAACTAAATCTGTTTTAGGCAGTTAGACTTCCTCGGCTCTACCGATTACCTTTGATCACATCAACTCCGCGTTTGTGCAAGTCCCGTTGCACTTCTGATAGAGAGACATGGCAGCCCAGCCGCCGCACATCTCCGTCTTGCTACCCCCACAGGGCATATCGCAAGCTCCCCAGAGCCCCTTTCTGGGCTTCCGATCATCAGCTACCGAGTTCCCGCACCAGCATTCTTTCGCATATTCAAGGCCGGCATACTGAAAGCCCTTTCCGTCACAGTACTTGACACATGTATCAACCGTCATGCTATCACCGGACGTCTTGGCGCCCTGGAGCGTCCTAGTCTGTCCAGCCGGATCACGGCCACAGCCCAAATATTTGTACTTGAGAGTACTTGTCACGTCCTTGTAACCCCATTTGGGTGCCGAGATCTGGGTCGCTGCACCGCAGCCTGATTCTGCCACAGCGTTGCCTGGGCCTCGTTGAATGCTGTTGCAACCAGGCAACTTATCAAACTGGCCCTGAACTTGCTCGTCAACCTTGACGGGGACTTGGCAGTTCCTTCGGGTCTCGTCGTCAAAAAACTGGAAAACTGGGCATTTCTCGATGCTACCACCGTTGTCGGTGCATTGTGTGATAGCCGCTTGGAGTACATTGACGTCCCATCCATTAATGAAATCGCCGTGCAAGCCATATCCAGTCGGATCACTAGGTGGTGTAAGCAGGTTTTAATTTTTTTTTTTACGAAAGTGAAGGTGAGATGCTGACCCATTAGACAATACAAACGGTTGCTTATCTCCGTACCATTTGTCCTTGAAATCATTCACGCTGAATATCACTTCGTAGAATAGACTGGCAGACAAGTTAGCACCTTGTTTTCATGAGTTCCCTGGTGTAATCTCACGTGACGAATCTCTTGGGGTGAGTTGTAGGACATTTTCCGTTATCAAGGCGATCCGGGTACGCCATATGGCTTTTGTGGTCAGGTGAATCGAGGTTGACACCGTCCCAGCATGCAGGGAATATTATTTGAAGACGGAGGCCATTCGGACAGTTACGATTGGGAAGCTCGCTCGTTGCAGGGCCGCTGTTGCCCAAGCACACGTACGAGATGGCCCGCTGCTCGAGGGTGTTGTTGTAGCTTCGAAGCTTTGGGTCGCCCGCTAGCATCCGAAAGCCCTTCGGATACGCGATGAGCCCTTTGCTGTATTCCGGATCCTTGGCGTCCTGGCGGAACCTGGAGACATGGTCAGTTCTCTGGCTTCTCTCATTGTGCTACATCGTTACTCACAAATAGTAGGCAAGCATGCCTCCGGACTGGGCAACACTAGTGAATTTGCCATCTTGGCCTTGATAGTAGAGGGTTGGAGTCCAGTAGTTGCTTAGATCGGCAGTCACCTTGCACGTTGAGCAAGTGGCAGCACGAGCCTGCTCATAAGTCATACTGAAGTCGAAGCCATTACCACCCATGATGGTATGAACATGCCCTGAGAGAGCTCCCGGGTTGACAATGGGATCGGCGCGCTCAACAACCACCGGTTTTGAACAGGGCATGATGAAGAAAGCAGCCGCTTTGCCGCTTGCCCAGAGCCCAACGAGAAGTTGCTTGCTTACTTTCATGATGGGCAACGATAGGATTTGTGGCGAAAACGATAAACCGGCATGTAAAACAAAGGAGATTTCAAGTAGATTTAAAAGAGGGAGCGACACTGGTTATCCAAAATTTGATAGAATCGGCTAATGATGTCGTGGAATTCTGGTCAAAGATCAAAGTTCACCCAGCGAAAGCTGGAGTGGGGGCTAGGAAATAGACCGAAAGCTAATAGCTCCAAGGGAAGAGCAGAAAGGCCAGGTACGCAGGCGTACGTGAGAAGAAGTAGTGACGGCAAGTCTAGGAGAATAGGGCAAGGCGAAGCAGGCTGTGGTGATCTTTTATCATTCACCTTGAATGCCCACTGTCAAAACCCCACCCATATCATAGGATCTGGTTGAGAATCTAGACCGGGAGGTGCAGGAGGCTTTCCGTCAATGCGGCCGTGACAATAGACACAGACAAGCCATTATCTAGAACTTGAGCTACAGAGGGAACAAGGAGGGTGCCCGTGAGTGGAGGAACATGACGAGTTGGCTGAGCCTAATCTAAATGCGTGCTTAACTTCGCCAAAGAGCTGTAATGGCGTCAAAAATTGGCGAAGCTCTGCTCAGCTCTTCGGCGTTGATCGGAGATGGCTCCGCGCTTTAGTCAGAATGGAGAGGCGGTCGCAAGTAACGCTTGCCGGTGAAGGTTGTGGTCCAGAAAAGAAGGGTACTTTGCTCAATCGTTCCGCTCGAGCTTAGCCTACATGTCAGACATTACCGCAGTTGTCTCTGATTCACCCATTGAGCTGGTTGAGCCAAGAGGCAAGATTTCAAAGACAAGGCGTCGCGAATCTGACGCAGGTCGAGATCTTACACGGACGAGGTTGCTGCTTTAGTCGTGATGAATGGAAAATCCCGAGAGGAGGCATCAAGGAGACAAGGTCGAAGCTTTGGGATGAGTTGTCTTAGACACGTAGAATTCGGTCATGACAGGGTCCATCTCGTCAGAAAAACTCCCCTCACTGACCATGCAAACATCCGCCGTCTGGCGAGCTTTCGGGCGGAAAGGCGGATCGTGTGTGCAAGCCACTGCGCCGTGAGCTACCGGATTGGTCTTAGAACCGGCTTTCCAAGACTCAAACGGAGCGCGGACGAAATGCGGTTACAGAAAAGGCGGATTAGTGTAGGCTAATAGGGAATTGGAAAGTAAGGGATGTTGGACGGCCGAGTGCCAAGCTGGGAAGACGCTAAAACGTCAACGAGAGACATTAAGAGGGCTAGGCTCTCACAATCTTCGCCTTGAGAGATTGGTCTTACGGGCCTCAATACGTTGTCTTCTTGTCTCAGTCCAGACCAGGATGACCCGCTTCGCCTGTCAGGTTGTCACCTGTTCCCGGAATGCCTGACGGCTGAGGAATGTTTTCGGATTTATCGTTTCCTAATTCATGGCGTGAAGTCCTGACGAGGACCGACCACCCGACCAAGTTGGGAATTCCTGAGACAGCAATGTGCCAAAATAACGATCGTGCATTTACCCAGGTGAGCACAGTCTCTGATCTCATTATACTGCCTGATAACCCGACGATTGGGTAGAGACCCGTTGCGCCGGGGTGCAGAAGCTATGTCTCCGCACCGGAAGTGGGGAATCGGGGTCAGCGGCCGGGTCGGATGTGTGAGTGGGTCTCACGGGACGGAGGCAGACGTCAAGTGCGTTAGGCGTTTGCCAACTCTCAACTGCTTTGCAACATCCGGGCAACTCCTTTGACTCACGGACCTGACGGTGAGGCTTGAGCTTCAGGATTCTTGCCTCCCCCTTGCGCCTCATCCGTCAATATCGCACCATCCTACTCGACTAGCCAAAGTATAGCCTCTGGTGAACGGCAAACGCTTAAGTAGACTACGTGACAACATGAACCTCGTGGCTCTTCAAGCCTAATAACTAGGAGGACCCATTGCGGTTCTATGTACTTTCAGCTATTCGTTTTCTGTAAGTGAAACAGCGTTTTCAAGCCAATCTGCGAGCTTGGTCAGAGGCAGGAGTGCCAACCTGCTGAGCCGCCACAGGGTTTGGGGGGAGGGGGGAGGGGCGCACTCACCAGTTGCGTCAGCAGCGGCTGACACTGTCAGGTCGATCTCCTGGTTCCAGCTCCCACCAAGAAATTATGATGGAAGGCAGATTGACTCTGGCATACAGCTGCTTTGAGACTGCCACAACTGCTCTGGCCAGACGTCAAGCCAACAACCGAGTTGCGATCAACACGGACGCACTCATTTCTGATTTGTATGGGGGGTACATGGGAGCATTATACGTCGCTCTGTCGATCCCATGGGCAATCCCTCCCACCCGAATAGTGAACAACAGTCCGGGCCGGCCATGTCTCGCGGTTCAGCTGGTTTGCCTAGCCAGCTAGGACACGGGCCGTCGAAGTTCGAATGGACAGAATAAGTGAGCCAAGCTAAGGTGGGCTGTCAGAAGCTAGGTCTGTGGCTTTGAGCTGCTGTATCATGGCCCAACCTATTCTCTAACCTGTCTATCTCAGGCATTGTGACATGTGACATGCGACAGAGCATTATTTCTAGTATCATTCGCAATAACAATTGATCCCCGGCAAGGCAGTCTCACCAATCCTCCTAAAGGGATCATTCGCCGTCGTCTTAGACCATCTGACCTGTGAACAGTGTATTCCACACATTGCTGCTGTACGGCTTGTCTGTGACTACCTTACTTTTATCTTCCGTTCTACGCTCTCGATACTTTACGGCTAAGGTCTTCCAACAGAGCTGCTGTATCATCAATTTCGGCATACTCACTTACTATACGTGAGATCACAGGTTGAGAATCACATGTAACAATGTGAGCAGACACTCATTTTTACAAGAAACCCGAATCTCATTGTAGGAGCGAGAGAAACGTACAAGGAAGTCTTGTTTCACTTTAAGTAATATTGCCGTCAGCCCTGAAAGGGCCGACTTTTAAATTTCTTGAATGGCACTGCAGGAGTGCCTGATTTCAATTCTTGGGCCAGATTCTCGTGCTGGAGACATTTTTGATACGGCC